CCAACCAGAAAAACCAGAAAAACACCCATTTAGCCCTACTCTTTGCTTTCTACTGGTCAACCAATCCTCTATCCATGCCAATACATTACCTGTAATACCATGCAACTTTACCTTATGTAGCAGCCTTTGGTGTGGCATCTTGTCAAATGCCTTCTGGAAATCCAGATACACCACATCCACAGGTTCCCCGTTGTCCACCATGCAAGTAATGTCCTCAAAGAATTCCACCAAATTAGTTAAACATGACCTACCCTTCATGAACCCATGCTGGGTGTTCATCCAGATGTTTACATGTTTACATCCAGATGTCTTGCTATTTCTTCCTTAATGATAGATTCAAGCATTTTCCCCACTACCGAAGTTAAGCTAACTGGCCTATAGTTACCTGCTTTTTGTCTACTTCCTTTTTTAAACAGTGGCGTCACATTGGCTGCTTTCCAATCTGCGGGAACCACCCCAGAGTCCAGTGAATTTTGGTAAATAATTACTAGTGCATTTGCTATTTACCCCATCACCTCTTTTAGTACCCTGGGATGTATTTCATCAGGGCCAGGAGACTTGTCTACCTTTAGCCCCATTAGCTTGCCCAGCACTGCCTCCTTAGCGATAATGATAGTTTCTAGGTCCTCACCTGCTATAACCTTCTTGCTATTAGTTTTCGGCATGTTATTTGTGTCTTCCACTGTGAAGGCCGACACAAAATAACTGTTTAATATCTCCTCATTCCCAGTTATTAAATTGGCCTTCTCATCCTCTAAAGGACCAATGTTTACCTTCGCCACTCTTTTACGATTTACATACTCATAGAAACTTTTGCTGCCTGTTTTTATATTTTGAGCTAGTTTACTCTCATAATCTATCTTACTTTTCTTTATAACTTTTTTTGTGGCTTTCTGTTGGCCTTTAAAGATTTCCCAGTCTACTAGTTTCCCACTAATCTTTGCTTTTTTGTATGTGTTTTTTTTTAATCTGATACTTTCCTTTATTTCCTTAGACATCCATGGCTGACTATTTCTTTTTTCCCTACAGTTCTTCCTTATCACTGGAATATACTTCTGCTGAGCACTGTGAAAAATTGTTTTGAAAGTCCTCCACTGTTCCTCAATTGACCCACCATAAAGTTTTTGCTCCCATTCAATCTTAGCCAACTCCTTCCTCATCCCATCATAGTCTCCTTTGTTTAAGCACAGGACATAGGTACTGGGTTTAACCTTCTCACGCTCCATCTCTATTTTAAATTCGACCATCCTGTGATCGCTCCTTCCGAGAGGATCCCTAACTGTGAGATCATTAATTATTCCTGTCTCATTACACAGGACTAGATCTAGGATAGCTTGCTCCCTCGTAGGTTCCATTACATATTGTTCAAGGAAATTATCGTGGATGCATTCTATGAACCCCTCCTCAAGGCTGCCATGACCGACCTAGTTTGACCAATCGATATGTAGATTAAAATCCCCCATGATAATTGCTGTACCATTTTCACATGCATTAGCTATTTCTATGTTTATTGCCCGCCCCACCACGATGTCGTTATTTGGTGGCCTATAGACCACACCTATCAGTGACTTCTTCTCCCTGCTATTCCTAATTTCCACCCAAATGGATTCAACCTTTTGTTCAGTAGAACCGATATCATCTCTCACTACTGCCCTGATATCATCCATGATGAGACAAAACAATCAAAGCTGTCAGCCATATGGGGACTAGGAAAGGAAGCTGGTAGTCAGCAGTTCAGTTGGACTAAGGTGGAGGGAGCAGGGGATGGAACTCATGGGCAGGATGAGCCCAGAGAGGGCATGAGGGAGATAGCAGAGAAACTGGAGACTGATGTAAGTTCAGGACGAGGACATGGGAGTTATAGAGGAGAGTAGCCTGGTGGGTTTGTGAGGTGGTGGGGGAGTAAGTGGTCAAAACAGTTGATTGAATTATCTCAATGTTAAGGACAAAAAAGTCTCTCACACTTACTGACAGATGACAACAGGACGTCATAGTGTTTTATAGTGTTCTGAGGAAGGGTCACCGGACCCAAAATGTTAACTCTGTTTTCTCCTTCACAGATGCTGCCAGACCTGCTGAGCTTTTCCAGCAACTTTGTTTTTGTTCCTGATTTACAGCATCCGCAGTTCTTTTGGTTTTTATATAGTGTTTTATATATTCGGTCAGGTCTTGTGATGAATGATTAAACCCAGTTAGCCACTATATCCTTTCAAGTCTGTGTCTGTTTGACTTAAGAAAGCAGAAATGAGGGCAGTATCAGGGGATTGGAGATGGCTGAGAGAGACAGGAATAGTTTAATAGGGGTGAGGGCAGCAGAATTCAAGGTGCAGTAGTGAGCGATCAGGGTGAATGGTTAGACTACTGGGATTTTGAAAATGTGGTTGTAAGTGAATTGGGAGATGAATTTTTTCCCAGGGGCAGGTCCAGAAGTCTGGAACATGGGAGTGTGATGAGGGTGAAGCAGTGATCAGGGATGGCCTCATCTGCTATTGTCATGAAGGCAGGAGTGAGGCAGGAAAGGAAAGGGTCAAGCAAATAGCCATGAATATGAATTATGAAGTTTATGTGGAGGATGCAGAGATTGACAAAGATAAGAGGGCAGTGAACTCAAAGGAGAAACAACTTGAGCGGGATGGAAGTTGTAATCGCTGAGCATGAAAAATTGCACGGAGAAATTTCGTGAAAATACCTCAGTGAGAAAATGCCTTTGGCATCAAATGGATGGCAGAGAACAAGGAATTTTAAATGGAAGTTAAAAGAATGGGATGAGGAGAGATTCTCAAATGAGGAGAAAGTGTCAGAGAAGTAGAGCAGTTAGGCCAAGATGTGATCCAATGATAGGAGCCTCACCACTATGCCTGCAATCTTGGAAGGCAAGTGATGGAAGGTATAGGCACTGGGAGGGGTCCATTTAGCAGTAAGGTGTTAGCCCCTCTCAGCCAAAACCTCTATCAAGACCATGATGTTGATACAATCATCCTCGGTAAGTTCTCAATACCGTGAGCCTTATTCAAAAGTGAACAGACTTCATAGAGAGAGATGTAGAGAGGGGAATTGAGAACTGATTCACTGGCAGGGACCACAGGGTAAGGACTGGGAGGTCTGAGTTGGATAGGAAGGAGCTAAGCAGGACTAGTTACCAGCAGACAAATTGGGCTGGAAGGCCAGCAGTGTGGGATGGGACAGAGGAACTGCTGCTCTGAAAAATTCAAGCTGAGCAAGGTGGGATAGTGGTTAAGGCTCCCTCTCCTGCTTTAAATTACATTATGTTTGGGCATCAGGAGAGAATAGGGTCAGACCCATCTACATGCTGTAAATGGCTGTTTTCTAGACTCATGCATGGAGAATAGTCATGTTCAGACTCATACCTGGCACCAGTAACTACAAAAGGGGAAAGAAGGAGAGAACAAACATATTTGGATTATGAATAAGTAAGACCAGTTAAAATATTACCTTGCAAAACAACTGGGTTAACATGAAGGAGACGAGGCCAGTTCCACTGCCCAGAACAAGGCACGTGCTCCCAGCTAGCTGCTGTTCCTTGACCACCCGTTTGCACACTCCATACAACTGGTTGTAGTAACCTGCTTTGCTCAGGTCTCCGTACTCCAGTTCAAGCTGTTCCTGAGTAAATCACACAGTACAACAAGAACATTTCCACAACATACAAGGGAAAGATGACAAGGACTTTTAGAACCAGGTGAAAACTGTAAGACCCTGTATAATGCTCCCCTTTATAAAGCTCATAGCTGGAGTGAAAAAAAAAATGTATAGAGTATTGCTAATTTTCTCTGGCCACTTCAAAGGCTTTCCACGAAATGTAAGTTTGTTTTTGAATGGGAAACTTCCTGCCTCATGTAAATTCATAATCCTGGTTTCTAACGGGTGTCATAACTGAGGCTGCAAACTAACTGTAATTTGCACCAATTTGGGTGAGTGGTTTGTGTTGTGAGTCTGTGATCCACAATAAGCAAAATGTACTCTGTTGCCCGTGGAAGCAGATAGTAAGCTGGTCATTGCCATCATTAACTGCTCCACGGTGTGTTGATATGTCTGCCTCTTCCAAAAGCTTGGGCTACCAATTTGTACACATGTTGGGAAAACATCTCACTCTTTGTTACTGCCAGATTCCATTTTGACAGGATGGTTCTGATATGAGGAGCTATATTAAATAGTTAAACAAATTGGACTTGATTATCTTTAAAACTAAGAAGCTATTGGATGACCTCAGTGACATGTTCAAGATTGTGATGTCAACTGACAGTATTGATCCAAAGAAATGCCTAACTTTGGGAAATGTTTTAATACTAGGGACCAAAGTAAAAAGAACAAGTAAACTGAGAGTCAAAAAAAAATTCTTGTAGAAATTTGATGTTTCTTGTTCATCAAAATAAAGTATGTAAATTGATTTGAGCCACACTTGAGACACTCTTCAATGAGACTGTCTCTTCAACAGTAATCTACTGACGGGTTTGGTGTCACACAGCATCCTCACTTGAAACCAAACAAAGTGAATTATCAATATATGCATTTAAATATATCCTTAACTTTAGTATGCTGGAAACCTAGTCTCAGCCAATCCAGCAGTGATGAAGCACCAAATGGAGGAAAATACTTCCATAACAGAAAGGAGCAACCAATATGGTTTTGCATTGAGTGACACAGGTAGAACTTTGGCTGTTACGCTATTTCCCCACCCATTCAAACAATAACATCGAACTTTGTGTCAACCGTACTATTGTATTTACAGTGGTTCTGAACCATAATTAAAAATATTCAGACATTAATTCTTTGATGTTCACAGCTTGGAGCTATACATGTTTTCTCATGCTTACAGCAGTACCCGAAAAGAAAAATCTTGTTCTAGAACATAGAACATAGAACAGTACAGCACAGTACAGGCCCTTCGGCCCACGGCGTTGTGCCGAACTTTTACCCTAATACTAAGGTCTATCTAACCTCCACCCCTACCTTATACTATCATCCATATACCAATCTAATAGTCGCTTAAATGCCCCCAATGAGGCTGACTATGCCCCCTCGTAATAGCTACCTCCACCCGAGGAAAAAGTCTCTGGCTGTCTACTCTATCTATACCTCTGATCATTTTGTACACCTCTATCAAGTCACCTCTCATCCTTCATCGTCTAAAGATAAAAGCCCTAGCTCTCTCAACCTTTCCTCGTAAGACCTTCCCTTATTCCAGGCAACATCCTGGAAAATCTCCTCTGCACCTTTTCCAATGCTTCTACATCTTTCCTGTAATGAGGTGACCAGAACTGGACATAATACTCCAGATGTGGCCGAGCCAGGCTTTTGTATAGCTGGAGCATAACTTCACGGCTCTTGAGATCAATCCCTCTATTAATGAAAGCTAACACACCATACGCCTTCTTAACAACTCTATCCACCTGGGAAGTAGCTTTCAGGGAACTGTGGACATGAACCCCGAGATCCCTCTGCTCCTCCACACTGCCAAGAATCTTTCCGTTAACCCTGTATTCTGCTTTCAAGTTTGTCCTTCCTAAGTGAATCACCTCACACTTTTCAGGGTTAAACTCCATCTGCCACTTCTCAGCCCAGCTCTGCATCCTATCAATGTTCCTTTGTAACCTAGAACAGCCCTCCGCACTGTCCACAACGCGACCCACCTTCGTATCGTCCGCGAACTTACTAATCCACCCTTCCACTCCTTCATCCAAATCATTTACAAAAATCACAAATAGAAGAGGACCCAGAACAGACTTTTGTGGTACACCACTCATAACTGAGCACCATGTTGAATATTTTCCGTCCACTACCACCCTTTGTCTTCTAAGGGTCAGCCAATTCTGAATCCAATCTGCCACATTTCCCCCTATCCCATGCCTCCTTACCTTCTGCATAAGCCTACCATGGGGAACTTTATCAAACACCTTACTTAAATCCATGTATACCACATCCACTGCTCTACCTTCATCCACGTGTTTGGTCACTTCTTCAAAGAATTCAATGAGGTTTGTGAGGGATGATATACACCTCACAAATCTACGCTGACTATCACAAATCAAACTGTGCCTTTTCAAGTGATCATAAATCCTATCTCTCAGAGCCCTTTCCAATAATTTGCCCACCACTGACGTAAGACTAACTGGCCTGTAATTTCCAGGGTTATCCCTATTCCCTTTTTTGAACAAGGGAACGACGTTTGCCTCTCTCCAATCTTCCGGCACTATACCTGTGGACAGTGAGGACGAAAAGATCATCGCCAAAGGCCCTGCGATCTCTTCCCTCACGTCCCATAGAATCCTTGGATAAATCCCATCAGGCCCGGGGGACTTATCTATCTTCAACTTCCTCAAAATTCCTAGTACATCTTCCTTACTAACATCGACCTCCTCTAGCCTACCAGCCTGTTTCACACTGTCCTCCTCTACAACTAGGTCCCTCTAGTTGTGAATACCGAAGAAAAGTATTCATTAAGGACCTCTCCTATCTCTTTAGGCTCCGTGCGCAAATTCCCTTTACAATCCTTGATCAGACCTACCCTTTCTCTGGTCATTCTCTTATTCCTCACGTTTGTGTAAAAAGCCTTGGAGTTTTCCTTGATCCTATCTGCCAAGGTTTTCTCATGCCCCTTTATAGCTCTCCTAAGCCCTTTCTTCAGCTCCGTCCTGGATAACCTGTATCCCTCCAGAGGCTATTCTGTTCCTTGTTTTCTAAACCTCACATAAGCCTCCTTCTCCCTCTTAACCAGTCGTTCGACCTATCTTGAGAACCAAGGCTCCCTCACTCGACCGCATCTTCCCTGCCTGCTAGGGACAAACATATCGAGCACACGCAGTATGCATTCCTTAAACAATCTCCATAGTGCTTTCTATAGTGCTCTTCCCTGACAGCATCTGTTCCCATTTTATGTTACCCAGTTCTTGCCTAACAGAATTGTAATTACCCTTCCGCCAATTATAAACCTTACCCTGCTGTATGTACCTATCCTTTTCCATGACTATTGTAAAAGTAACAGAGTTATGATTGCTACCGCCAAAATGCTCTCCTACCAACAGGTCTAACACTTGGCCTGGTTCATTGCCAAGCACCAAATCCAAAGTGGCCTCTCCTCGTGTTGGTCTATCTACATAGTGTCAGGAATCCTTCCTGAATGCACTGGACAAAATCCGCTCCATCTAAACTGTTACAACTAAAATGTTTCCAATCATTATTTGGAAAGTTGAAGTCATCCATGACTACACCCCTGTGAACTCTGCACCTTTCCAGTGTCTGCCTCCCAATCCACTCCTCCACTTCCCTGCAACTATTAGGGGGTCTGTAAAAAAAACCGCAACAAAGTGACGACTCCTTTCTTGTTCTGGACCTCAACCCAAACTGACTCTGTAGACTTATCATTCTCAAACTGCCTTTCAGTAGCTGCTATACTAGCCCTGACTAGCAATGCCACTCCCCCGCCTCTTTTTCCACCCTCCCTATTTCTTTTAAAGCATCTAAATCCTGGAAATTCCAACAACCATTCCTGTCCCTGAGTTACCCAAGTTTCTGTAATGGCCACAACATTGTAGTTCCAAGTACTGACCCATGCTCTAAGTTCATCCGCCTTATTTCTGATACTTCTAGCATTGAAGTATACACACCTCAAACCATCTCTATGTCCACAATTACGCTCCATCAACCGCATTTCTTTATTAACAACCTCACCTCCAGTTGTGTCTGTTGGAAGGCTGAATACCTCATCCTCTGAATTACAAATCCACCCCCTGCCAATCTAGTTTAAACCATCCCGTATAGCTCAAGCAAACCTCCCTCCCAGGATATTTGTGCCCTTCCAGTTCAGGTGCAACCTGTTCTATCTATTGTTCAATGGGTAAATAAACAGTTTCTGAGCTTTACTGACTGGAAAGGTTGCACTTTGCAACTCGTATCCAGTTTTGGCTGGATCAGTATGGAGACATCAGGCACAGGGATCCACCGCTGCTCCTGGCCTGGGCCACACTCTGATTGTCCCAGGCCTTGGGAGACACCAAAAAGCATCTCCAGCCCTTGGGCTAGAGAGAAAAAAACTCACTAATGATTCCTATTCCTGGTCACTGTTGTGTTAAACCTGTTAGAAAGTATGTTTATTGAGTGAGGCTATAGTTCGTCTCTGGTACTCCCCCACTCCCTTTTCCCATAGTTGAATAGCCTGTGGAGAACAGGTTATATAGCATTTTACACTTCTGACCCATTTCTGCGAGGAGTGGAAAAGAAATATTAGAGAATATAACTGAAAGAAGAACATAGAATATTAGCATGACATTACTTACAAGTTCTATAACATGATTATTGTGAGCCTTGCCTGGAGCATCTATAAGAAGAGAAAGTAGCAATTCCAGATTCAAGTATGGAAATCTTCATGTTTTACATTTGGGATTTATTGGCACAGTTATTCATGAGGAATATTGTTTGCTACACATTTTCAATGTTCCTCTATTCAGCCAATACTGGTTAGAATATATTTGATCAAAAGCACTTAATTCATCTTACCCAAAACTTGTGAAAAAAAAATCCTTCAGAGAATCCAGATAAATCAAGCTGTTCAATAACCTGACTGAGACTACTGGCTTCAGAAAGATGCTGTCCTACCTGCACAGCAACATCCGTCTCATACTGCAGCTGAGTGTTGGCACTGGAAACGGTGATCAGTTGTACAGTCTCCTTGGGAACAGTGATTGAGTTATCTGGTGAAAACACATGCCTCTTCAGTGAAAATCTCTTTATTGTGGAAAATGCCTGAAGAGTTGCAATGCAAAGCCTAAATATGCTTTTCTTTTCTTGTTTTGCAAACTGTTGAACATCATACAACATATGACTGCAGTCCTGCTGCAATTAAAGGTACATTTCAGCCATACAGACAATACACAATTAGTCTCTTCAGAAGAGAAGTTTTAATGCATAATGCAACAAACTTATAACACTGTTGATTATTCAGATCATATTTTGATCACATCTTTGCACTTCCAATTATCAAAGGCCAGTGTTTAAACCCTCTAAAACGCAAAGCCAGCAGTGACACTTCTTAATAAATGTGAAGCTGGAAAAGCACAGCTGGCCAGGCAGCATTCGAGGAGCAGGAAAGTCAACATTTTGGGCCAAAACGCTTCATTAGGACTGGGGAGGGGGAGGGAAGCCGAGAAGTAAATAGAGGGAGGGGAGTGGGGCTGGGGGGAGGGTAGGTGAGATGGAGACAGGTGGATGCAGTAGGGGGTTATTGTGGTTGGTCAGTGGAAAGGGTGAAGCGGATAGGTGAGTCAGAAGATGGCCGGGTTGGTGGGAGGAAAAATTTTGAAGCTGGTGAGTCAATATTTCAGGCCATTGGGCTGTAAGCTCCCAAGGTGAAATATGAGGTGTTGTTCCTCCAGTTTACGTTTGGACTTATTCTGACAGTAGGGGAGGCCAAGGATGGACGTACCACCAGAGGAGTGCGAGGGGGAGTTAATGTAGGTGGCAATCAGAAGATCGGATTGGTTCGTGTGTGCAGAGTGCAGATGCTCCTCAAACCAGTCCCCAAGTCTGCGTTTAGTCTCCTCGATATAGGAAATTTAGGTCACTCATGGAAGCAAGCTGTGCTTCCAATGATGCCCCGCATCTTTATTTAGAATCTTATCCTGTGTGCATTTTAACCAAATAAGTCCAGTATTTTAAAAGGTGGTCTGTAATGTTACACTATCTATTCCACATAGATAAACCAATTGATTAGTACAACATTTTAAATGTTTTTTTTGCTTACTTCACAATGACTTGTTTGTGTACAAGTGTGTTACATTTTAATAACTAATAAACTCATTTTATCTTTAGCTCAATAAACCTGGCTCATTTGTCTCCTGTTAAAAGATAAACACATTGGAATTGGGAGAGGGAAGGGATCCTTGTTTCCAAGTTAACCTTGTTGCAACCAACAAATGGAGGGTTTGAATGAAGAAGGGGAGCCTGACAATATTGAGCTAGCTGAAATTGTTTTGTATGAATCCAATTCACGAGAATAATATGAAGGCATAGATTATGATGAGGGGCATGAGATTCTCTGACTATTACCACTTGACTAAACAATGAGATTCATATAGTTTTATAAAATTATGATGGATCTGATGGTGAAGCAAGAGAGATATGCTCAAATTGTGCAACCAGTGATGAGGGATTGCCATAGAGTCATGGAATCATAGGGCAGTACATCATGGAAACAGGCCCTTTGGCCCAAACTGGTCCATGCTGACCATGGTGCTCACTCAGTTAGCTACAATTTCCTGCATTTGGTCCATATCCCTCTAAACCATTCCCATCCATGTACCTATCCAAACGTTTTAAAATGTTGCTATTGTACCTGCCTCAACCACTTTCTCTGGCAGCCCATTCCATATACACACCACTCTCTGCATGAAGAAGTTGCCCCTCAGGCCCTTCTTAAATCTTTCCCCTCTCACCTTAAACCTATGCTCTCTAGTTTGCAATTCCCCATCCCTGGGAAAAAGATTATATGCATTCATCCTATCTATGCCCCTCATGATTTTATACACCTCAATAAGGTCACCCCTCATTCTCCTACGTTCCAAGGAATAAGTTCCTATCCTGGCCAACATCTCCCTATAACTCAGGCCTACAAGTCCTGGCAACATCCTCGTAAATCTTCTTTGCACACTTTCCAGTTTAACTATGCCTTTCCTGTAACAGGGTGATCAAAACTGTACACAATGCTCCAAGTGCGGCCTCACCATCGACTTACACAACTGTAACATAACGTACCAACTTCTATACTCAATGCCTCAACTGATGAAGGCCAGCATGCTAAATGCCTTCTTCTAACTGCCTGTCCACCTGTGATACCACTTTCAACAAACTATGTATTTGTACTCCTAGGTCCCTCAGTTCCACAACACTCCTCAGGACCTGAGATAGCAGGAACTGCAGATGCTGGAGAATCTGAGATAACAAGGTGTAGAGCTGGATGAACACAGCAGGCCAAGCAGTATCAGAGGTGCAGGAAGGCTGACGTTTTGAGTCTAGACCCTTCTTCTGAAGAAGAGTCTAGGCCCGAAACGTCAGCCTTCCTGCTCCTCTGATACTCCTCAGGACCTTACCATTTACTGTATAAGTCCTACCTTGGTTTGACTTTCCAAAGTTCAACACCTCACACTTATCTGCATTGAATTGCATTTGCCAATCCTCAGCCCACTTCCCCATCTGATCAAGGTCCCTCTGTAATTTTCAATAACTTTCCTTGCTATCAACGATACCTCCTAATTCTCTCCCTGGATCCTATGCAGCCTAATCTTCGTGGCTAGCCTGATGTGTGGGACCTTGTCAAAGTCCTTATAGACAACATCCACTGCCCTACCCTCATTTGGACGTATATTGTTTTGTGAAGGGGAATGGTTATTGCAGAAACTCATATTCTTCTGAAGCAGGACTATACCAGGCTACTGGAGAGGACCGAGGAAGTGAGATTAGTTTCGGATTGTACCGTTAAAAAGCTGGCACAGGCATGATAGGTCCAAATGTCTTATTCAATGCTGTGAACGTCTAAGTTATAGATTGTACCAAAAATAAAATCTTTGTTAAACCAAACAAATAAATATAACCATTTATAATCACCCGACCTTAGGAGAGTGGGGAGGGGGGGCATATCTGCAATCTGATAAAATAAATCAAACCTGAAGCATTAACTTATGCATTCCCTTCAGCTCTTCTGATTGAGATTCTGTGTGTTTCAAATATTTGTGCTAATGTTTCAAGCTAACAGATCTTCATCACAATCCTTAAAGTCACAATTAAACTTAATGTTTCATCTTTTCCAAAGAAAATACGATCAACTCCCTTAATTTTTCATTCTTAATATACACATCTGGTTTCTATATGCATTATCACTGTTTCCCTTTCTCCCCACTGAAAGACGTTTTTTGGAATTGGGATTTTTCCAATTGGGAAGGCATTTTCATCCCAGATGTTCAATGGCTTCAGGTTTAAATAGTGTGATGGTTCTTTTGTCCTCATACCTGGAGTAACCGTCTCAGTATTCACCACTCTCACGGAGGTTTTCATCAGACCACATGTTCTGACCAAGCGAAAACCCAGATGTTGGAAAAAGTGCCTCCTGAAGGCAAACCTTGCAAATCGTGATGCCTCGTCCCCTGTCGAGATCCAAGAACCACCCTGTGGACACAATAAAATCAAAGCCAATAGTCCCAACAGGAGGGTGATTTTCATCAAAGTTTCCTCAGGATGTCCAAAAGCACAGCCAATGAAATACAGTTGAAGTACAGTCACCATTGAAATGTTAAACAAATAAGGCAGTCAAACTGGGTGTAGCAAGATCCCACAAATTGCAATGACAAAATAACCAGATAATATTTTTTGGAAATGTTGGTTAAGGTGTATGTATTGGTCAGGTCATCAGGAGCACTATCTTGTTGGACTCTGAATAATGCAGAGGGATTTTTAAAAAAATGTCTGCATTGAGAGAATTTCCGATCCTGCCTTAACAATTAATCCAAAAGACAGCATTTCAACAGTGCAGCTCTCCCTCAGTACAGCACTAAACTGTAACCTAGTTTACATGTTGAGTCTCTGAAGTGGGTCTTACACTTTTCAGCAAAGAAGCAAGAATGCTTTCTCTGAACTAATGATATTGCTACTGTTCCTTATTCAATTGGCTTCCACAACAAGGTTGAAGGAGACTCTCCTTTCAAGTATCACTTGAATGTCACAAATACTGTAACTCTGTCATATCCAATTGTTACCTCAGCAAAGTCTGTGTAAATCCTTTACTGTCCACCCAAAACCATCAAGCAACATTATATTTGTCCATCTTCACGTTGCCACTACCTAACCCTCTCTTAAGTTGAGCATGTCCAATTGTGCACCCAGTGAGGAAGCTTACTGACTAAAAGATTGAGGAAAGGGAAGCTCTTTTTGGAGAAGATAAGTCTACACCTATCCCTAAAATCTCCAAATCTGATTTCCAACCAGATCTTTACTCAGATTCCTATTGAAGGATTTAATCAAGTCAGCCTCAGATGTCCCCTTAAATAGAAAACTGTGACCATCTTCAATGCTTTCACTGAGAGAAACTGATTACCTCTCATAAACCAATGTCTGTATGTTGGATGGGTGGGGGCTTGTGAGTGTATTGCTCACTCCCACCTTCCCCACCTGGTATCTAAGTGACTGACTTTAAACAAGGCCAGCCCACAGCCGTAACGTGCTCTGGACAATCTTAATAAGGTGAGGCTTGGATTTCTGCCCTTCAGTGAGAGAATGCCCTGCCCTCAAGAGCTGTTGGCCAGTCAGCAAAGAACTGAGTAGTGTGCAAGTAGTCTCTGGGAAGAAGGGATGGCTACTGGGGAGAAGTAATCTGGATTTTTAGATGGGTATAGAGCAGGAAACCTAGGGAGGAATACAAGGGACATCAGTGGGCTTTGCTGGTTAGCCTATAATGGCAGGAGGTGGACTGATGACTAAAGGACCTCAATAGGCTGAAGGGTGAGCAGCACCTTAACCAGCCCCATATTGTCAGGATTAGATCAGGGATAGAGAGGGATGCGATCTGTTCAATGGGAAGATGGTGCAGTAATGGGATAATGGAGCTGGAGACTGGAAGGAGGTGGATAGGAAGGAGGTGAGTGGGCAGGAAGGAGATGGATATGAAGGAGGTGAGTGAGCAGGAAGGAGGTGAGTGGGCAGGAAGGAGGTGAGTGAGCAGGAAGGAG